GAGATTCTAAAGGGGAGGGGAGAGGGAGAGGGTGGTGGCGGGGCTGTAATTCAGCCTGACAAACGATCTTGAATATTTTTAACGCCCGCGCCAGCCTCCGCGCTTCTTTTTTATGGTCGACCTCCTGGATATTGGACGTTCGGCAGACTCGTCGAATCCGCTGATGGACCTCCACCGTGCCCGATTATCCCTCCAATGATCATTCAGCTCCAAACGGTTCACGAGAAACGCGTTTCTCCTCATTCCGGGGATATCTTCTTTTTCCTCCGTTCTCTTTCCTCTTTTTCTTTTCTTCTCTTTTTTTCTTCTCTTCTTTTTGCCTTGGATTCGTTTCTGATATTGGAGAACGATATTTGACGATGACGCGAACGGGTCGTTTCGATTTTGATTTTCTTTTTTTTTCTTTTTTGTTTTTATTCTTTTCATATTTTGGCGTGTTAGTTAAGTCTCGTCTGACGAATGATAGTCTCGCGAACAGCTCGTAACTGGTGGAGAAATGAGACGCATTAAATCATCCGCGATGGACAGAAGGTGGCAGCAGATCCAGTAGAGATCATCATTCTACGGATTATCTTCCTGACGAATTCTCCCCCATTTCTCACCAATTCGATAAATACCACGATCCCTCCAGGTGACATACGGCTCGTACTTGAAACCGGTCTTCTCGAGATAACCAGGATTTCTTGTATCAGAATCTCTCGATTCTTTAAAATTTTTAACGCCAATTTTATTACGTAGAATTTTAAAGTAACGAGAATAAAATCTAATTACCGTTAGTAATTTATCGAATTGAACCGAAACGAGGATTTTATGCCGGAAATCGTTCCGAAGTTATCAGTGAAAAAAAAAAAAAAAGAAGAAGGAAGTAAAAAAAGGGTGGGCGAGTGAAGGCAATAGGCGATCAATCATAAAGCTGGTGATCTATTTTGCCGGGCATGTGAGAGCCGTCGATTTCTTACTCATGATTCCGAGATTCTGCGAGCTCTGCTGGGAACGCCTTGAGGTTAAAGGACATTAACTTCTTGATTGAGTCGGCAAAAAGTTGTAATGACTTTTCGATTGGACTGGCCGACCCCGGCGGAGATCCTCCAACGCGAAGCGAGTATCCAAGTTTTTCCCCGTTTTCGAAATTATTTATCGTAACAGAGATTGCAATCGCGACCAGTTGTTAAACAAACAATTATTTTCCTTTTGCGATTACGGCAAAGAAAGAGGAAAAGAAGGAGGAGGAGGAGGTGGTGCTCGAGATTGAAATAAATCGAGTCAATTCGATTATCAAGGAAGCAGATGATGGGCAACGGACCAACGGCCCAACGGCTCTAATCCTAATTCGTGGTCGTAAAGTCGACAGGGAGTCGTTTCATCGACGTTATATGTGACACGCGACTCGCGGCAGGGCGTCGAGGAAATGTTTCTGTATCTTTCGTCGACCATTCCTGGCTTATGAACCATATTTATTGCCGATCCAGCCATCCTGTCCCTGCATCGCCTCCGACGCCGATATATACCGATCCCTAATTCCACTTTATGCCTCGCCGTTAACGCTCAAATCTCTATCTTCTATTCGAGTAGAACGATCTTCTTCCTTTGGAAAAGATGGAAAAAACAAAATCGCTTCGAGAATCGTCAATTGTCTGAAGGAAATAAAAAAAAAACGAAAAAGGGTGAAGATTCGTGAGAATCGTCCAGGTCTAATTTCGCAGGCATCTGTCCTCGTTGTCGCGTAAATCGGGTAGAAAGGGGAGGCAGCTTCGCGACGCCCAATTCGTCCAAGTTAAACGGGGCAGAGGGTAGCAACTCGACCGGCACGTGGCTGACACGCGTGAGCTGTTAACGCTGAATCCTAGCAAGGGACTGTGTCAACTGTGTTGCTTTGCGACACCTTGCAGAAACATTTCCGCTCGAACGATCGGGATCGTCGATGCGATGAATTATTATGCGAAAATTTCTGAAAGATTGCCCGGAATTTTATTTTTTTCGCTCGCATCGTCTAGACGCGTCTATCCAAAGATCGATCGACCAACTCCATCGCAACGAACATTTTTCGTTCGTTCCCTCGTTCTTTTTCTTCTTTTCCTTTTTTCTTTTTTATTTTCCCCAGAGGAAAAAGTAGTACTTTCGAGCAATATCTTGCGATAGTTTCCGGTCGACTGGAGGTAACGCGACGACTGCCGAGTCTGTCCGAGGTGATAAATATGCAGCCGATGCAGTTGATGAGAGAAGGTCGTTTATCAATCACCCATTAACGCGACCACACCGCTTCGCGCAGCTTTACCGGCTCCGCCGAAAACCTGCTCGCTTCTGCTTCCATATTTCACGGAATCATCGTGATTCTCTTCCACCGGTCCTCCCCGAGCACACACAGTCGATTTTCCATTAAAACCCGGCGTCCACGCACACGCTCGCGCGCGCACACACACGCAACCTCGCTCCAAAGAAATATTCCATCGTGATACGTTCAATCATCCCTTCAGAAATTCTTGGTGAAATTCTAACTCGTAATCCGTTCCAATGAGAACGTGGGTTAATTCGATCGGGATTTATATCGAGACGAATTAACCCTCGATGATTAAAATTAATCGATTAACGCGTTTTGAAGAGGAAAATGTTGAAAGAGGATATTTCGAAAGGAGGATTCTAAGAAAGGAAGGAAGAAAAAAAGAAGAAGGAAGAGATGGTTTCAATTTCTTGAACGTCGTCCTCCGAGAGAAAGAGTAATCGACGGGAGGGAATCTGTGTAGCTCGACGAAACAGGGTGGTGCTCCGTTAAGTCTCTGATAAATTGAACGTGTGATGAGTTCGGAGGATTCTTGAAATGGCCGGCCGCGATGCGCGCCGCCCGCGAAAGGGGAAGAAGTGCTACGGCACGAGCCCCTACGGCTGCCACGAGTGCCAGAGATTTAGATTTTACGGGCGCTTGAGCAATTTCTTGACTTATAAGCGGGAGCCGTGCATACCAAGTGAGCCACTATCAAACGTTTCCCGACCTTAATCTTAATCCTCGAAATCGACCCCCGTTTGCGAAAAGTTGCTCGATCGTTGACAAAGTCAACTTACCCTCCCCCTCGCGATTACTCTCCCTCTCTTTCTCTCTTTATTCCTCGTAGCTGCGAATAATCGCCGATTCCCTTCATAGATCAAAACATTCTTCTCGAAGGAACAAGTG